GCCTTCCTCTCAGGCTGAAAGAATGTGACTTGCCCAAGGTCACCCAGTAGGTCTCCATGACTGAGCAGGGATTTGAACCCTGGTCTCTACAGTCATAGTCAAGCATTTAAGCCACTACATCATGCTGGTTCTCACAAGAGACATACATCCAATTTTTATAATAAAATATAAAAATCATATTTGCATATGCAGGAGAGTTCAGTCATTTACTTGTATCAATTATGTGCTCTTTATCACTTTTAAATAACATAGTTATTGCCTTCATTATGTTTTCTTTGAAATATAGTAATAGACATGGCTGGACTGTTTCATTCAAACTGGAGATGAAATGAATTTGCACCTAACAATTCTTTCTCAGTATTGTTTTTGAATTCTTATGACAAATGGTGACCAAATATGCCCACCAAATATTTCATATCACTATTTTACAACCAATGATGCTTGAATTCAGTATTTGATCATTAATAGTTGTTAATGTTGCATAGTTGAAATCCCATAATATTTTGCATGTTGACAGTATTCCATAATTGATGTCTAATGGCTTAGCATCTGAAGCAAGACATACAATTGTATATTTTTACATTTAAGCTTTTATTGGTTTTCTAAATAGTTTTTAAAATACATTTAAGATATTGTTCCTTCCCCAGTCTCCATGGTAACTCTGAATATATGCCTCCAAACTATGATCAATTTGTAATATACATCTCACTCACACTTACAATACATATAGACCAAAAAGAAAAGCACATGTTGGATAAATGGGGAGGGGTGAGTAGATTGGGCAGGGGTAGGGAAGGTGATACCAGCCTAACAATATTCAAAATGCTCTGTCAGTCTAGACTAGCCCTCAAACAAATCCAAGAAAGTGAGCATACATTCAGCTATTTCTTGCCTGCCAAGAATACCTGACATTTTCTGAGTTTTCATCCAGGATAGCTGCCAAAATCAAAATGGTTAAATGGCTGAACTATTTTATTTTTATTTTTTAAATTTTTATTAATTTTATTAAAACAAACACATTCAAATTGGCAATACATACAAAAACAGACATACTAATTCACAAATATAAACCACACAGTTTCATTCTTCATAAGAGGGCTAAATTGACTTCCTAGTATATGAATATTCACCTTTTCTAAATAGATTTAATCGAACCCCTTGACTTATACCATAGCTTTTTTTCTAATTAATAAATCAAATATACATTTGATCCTCTGACCAGAAGTCAGTAAGAAAATTACCTTTATCTTTTACATTCAGTTTTATATTGGTTAGGGAAAGAGAACCAGCTATATACCATTATCCCATTCATTTTCTTTCCCTTTTCCAATATTCCTTTAAACATATCCATTCTTCCTCCACATCCTCTTCTACTTTCTCATTCATCAAAGCTGTCAAGATGTCTAACTCCATAGCTTCCCACATCTTTTTTATCCATTCCCTGTTTGACGGTATTCTTGCTTGTTTCCAAACTTTAGCATAAACTATTCTAGCTGCTGTGGCCATATATAATATAACATGTCTGTACATTCTTTCAAAATTTTTATCTATTGTGCTGGTCATATTTAATAGAAAGAGTGTCAGATCAAAAGCGATTTCAATTTTTAATATTTCCGACATTAATTTCTGTATTTTCCTCCAATATTTTGGAGCTTCTCTACATTCCCACCAAAGATGATAAAAAGTAGCTCCTTGCTTCCCGCATTTCCAACAGTTATTTATCAGTGTTTTATATATTTTGTTAATTTTTACATGTGATAAATACCAATGGTACATCATTTTAATATGATTTTCTTTATAGTCCTGACAGCATGTATAATAATTAGCATCACGCCAGGCCTTCTCCCATCTTTCTATTTCAATAGAGTTTCTGATATCATGTGCCCATCTGATCATGGAGTGTTTAACCTTCTCTCTCTCAAGATGGCTGCACTATTTTATGCATGCTTGCAAGACAGTAAGATCTACTGTCTTGCGTGAAGTTTATTCCGTTAGGTGTGCTGAGGTCAGCAAGCCTAAAGAAGGCAAAATTGTGAATTCAGAAATAAACTTTTCATTAAAAATGTACTTTTGAAGGTGATCCTTAGGGGTAGACATAAAAATGATTGTGGTTTAGCAACTGAACTTTGAAAAATATGGCCAAAGGCAGAAGTCATCTGATTTTCTAAAATGGATCTGTGCCTTCCTCTATGGGTGTATCTACACAGTAGAAATAAAACAGTTTGACATTACTTTAAGTGCTGTACCTCCATCCTATGGAATCCTAGGATTTGCAGTTTTACAAGGTCTTTAGCCTTCTCTACCAAAGTATGCTGGTCCCTCACAAAATTATGAATCCCGGGATTTTGTAGAATGGTGCCATGCCAGTTGAAGTGGTGTCAAACTGCATTCTTTCTTAGACTGTAGATATACCCTAAATCTGTTCTTTTTTCCATAAGATACTCACATCTAACAATGAGAATATGTTGCTTGCATTTCTATTCAGCCCTCCATGTGTTAACATGATTTACATCTCAAGAAGGTTCTTTATGTACCAAAACATTTTTGTCTCCCTGGAGCTGCAAGATTTTTTGTGCTTGATACATTCCACCAATTATCAGTGCTGCTTATCACTTCCTCCATGGCACTGGAAAAGCTCCTGATAGCAAGTAATATTGTCAGCTACTATACTAATGATGTTACAGCTATATCTTTAAAAGAACAAGTCATATATATGAGACTGTGAGTTTTTTTTTAAAAAAATCGCTATTCCCTTAGGTAATTCACTCTCCATCAGTATTGGTCATCAAGTACAGGTAAATTCAATCTTTGGAGTGAAGCCCAGAACTTTCAACTTGAATCCTTCTAAAGAAAGGAGTGTTAAAATATTTTACTGCACTATTTATTTGTCAAGACATTGAAGTAATTAGTTGAGAAGATGAGATGTTCTCATTATTCACATGACTCTCTTTCTTTCTCTCTCTCTTAATTCCTCTCTCTCTTACTCTGCCCAACTAACAATTTCTCTGCTCTGTTTAAATTCAAGTTATGAATTTTCCCATTCACAATAATTCACTAAGCACATAATAATGACAGTTCCAAATGACCTGATGTTTATTTGGGATATAAAAACAATGCCAATTTTTCACAGCATTGATGGGTAGGGGTGTTTTGGCACATCAAGACACTGTTGGGTGGGGGGGGGCCTCAAGTGTCACAATACATTGGGCCCTTGATATCCGTGGGCTTGCCATCCATGGATTTAACTATCTGTGGACTGCAAGCCCCATTTCTTTCAATGGGGGCATGCAAACACATCCATGTTAGTGGCTGTGTGCATGTCACACCTGTCATTGAAATCAATGGGACTCGAGGTCCCGTGTTTTTCTTTATATGTGGGGGATCTGGAATGGAATGGATCCCTGTTGATATGAAGGGTGGACTGTATTTTATTTATGCATACATGCATTTTAGGACAATATTTTTGTGCAAGTTATTTGTGCACATTACTGTGTTTTATAATAATAATAATAATAATAATAATAATAATAATAATAATAATTTATTTATAGCCCGCCCCTCTGCGTGGCAATCGGAGTGGGGTACAACAAGTTTAAAAACAGAACAGAGTTAAAAACCATTCCCTCATCCCATAATCCCACCCTCCCATCCCCTTAAAACAGAATTAAACCACAAGCCAATTAAAAATGCCACATTAGTTAAAATTAAAATAATTAAATTGTTTTATGAACAAAATTGTGTTTTGTGCAAAAGACGTCAGCAAAAAAACCAGGGTGGTTTTATGCACAAAATATTTTTTTTCACAAAAAAGTGCTCCCAGAAAAGAAAAGAAAAGAAAAAAAACCAAATGGTTCTCATCTCTTAGAGATAAAAGTTTTGAAATGTTTTGTTCTTGCATACAAGAATTAAATAATCCAATAACATCCAAACAATGGTACCTTTATTGGGACAACCCAAATGCACAATTACATGTTACAAGCTTTTGAAGTTAAACTGGCTTCTTCATCAGGCAAACAGGAGGAAAAAAATTGTTAGTCATAGGCCTGCATTTTCTGTTTCTGGTCTTAGTTCAGGTGGTACGGAGGGTTATCAGCAGGCTGGCACCTCCTCTTTTTTAGCCATGCAGTCACTGGGAAATTTTCAAAGTCAAGGAAATTTAATGTCTATTTGCAATTCAAAGATGTTTCCTTGGAATCCAGCGTGTCCCCTTCCTTTGTGAAGTCACAGGCTCCTATGTAGGTAGAGAACACTGTAATTAAATAAGTGAAGGTTTCCATCCTGAATACTTACCTACATCTTCTAATATGCCTTCTGAGAGAGTTCATAAGGACATTGTACAAGGAAGTGTTAAGCACCTCTTTCCTCAATTTCCAAAAAGGAAATACAGTGGGCCCTTGTTATGCACAGGGGTTCCATTCCTGACAAAAAGGCAAAAACTATGAAACCTCAACCGTGGTATACTTTCATAAGCCGAACATACACATGAGTTCTGGTCATTGTGAGGTAGACAAAATTTGATAATATTCATAAATTAATGAATATTCTCATGAGAAATTCTCAACATATGTTTTAATGCTGCTATTATGCACTGTCCTCTTACTTTAAAACCAGTCTAAATAATAATTCATTATTTGCTGAGTGAGCAGAATTAGGACAGCATAATCAAATTTAAAATATACCAATTTGACTCTTAAAAATAATTAGTCTGTGCAAAGTTTTCTAAATTATAATTTGATCAGAAACTTATATCTATAACCCTAACTTTACTAACCCCTAAGGCCCTAAATTGTTTGCAAACAGGGTATCTGACAGATCACCTATGCACACAAGATCTTCCCTGGCCCTTGGTTTTAAGACGAGTACTTGAGGCCTTACTCCATGGCAGCAGCTGTGAGACTGATAAATACTAGGATCAGGGAATTTCTTGTAGTGGCCTCATATTTTTGGAATATCTTCTTGTGCAAGGTATGTATGGTTCTCTCTTTTATGACCCTTCCCATCACTGAGGGGAATTTTAAAAACTGCCCAATTATAGTTTGCATCTGATTTCATCTGTTGTTTTGCCTATTTTAATTGTCATACCGTATAGTTATTTTAATCATTTATGTGGTAAATACAGGTTGAGTCTC